AGATAGAATATGTGCCAACTTTCGAACTACATCTTTGGAAGATTTAAAAACGTTAATTTGTTTCCCAAATCGTCGCGAAAGGGTTCGTTACAAAGATATGTCAATGCTCCCGTTATATTCTTAATGCTCGGAAGTCTTTGTTTTTTCATCTTGGAATACCTCTGGTGGCAATTGGTAGCCGAGTTTCTTGGGCCAACCTCAGAAACTTTGCTGTAAAATGAACTTTGTATTGAAGCTTTGCACGCGTTTTATACTTTGTTGCACTCCAGGAATATCGTTCTTTAGTTTTTCAGTCGCTGCGTTAGTAGTTACATAAGGATGGAATTAAGCCTTGTTTCAGACTTCTTGAAATTTAATTAGAACTTCCCTTGATTAAGGTATCAGTATACCCCAAATGACCACCATTCGTTGGCGCCCCTTTACAGTCGGACGTTTGAGGCAAATCCCAGTAAAGTATATATTTACTGGAAACTTAAGAATTGTAGATTACGAAGGTATGTCCATTAAAATAAAAACAATTAAGGTTTTCCGAATATAGCGCCTTATTTCCCAAAGTACAGAGGTTCACTAATCAAGTTCGTTTCCGATCGGATTTGAGCGGGAAGACGCCATCAACATAGCTATGTCTTCTTGACACCTTTCTCTAAAACATAGGCACGCAAGGCGTGCAAGAGTTATTTTTTTGCGTGAAGACTCGGAGATAGGAGCATTCATGGAGCTGTTTACCGTAATGATTTGGTTAATTTGACAAGTTTTTTTGGTTGCGATGTACAGCAAGAAAAAAACTGGGAATTTATGATGTACATACGATGTTACATCGGTAATGGTAAGACAACTAAATAGTAAGCCATAAAATGTTTGACTGAACAAACTACGGTAATCTGACACGTCTCCAGATTAATGTAGATACCATCTTATTTTCTACCAGGCAATTTGATTCGTTCTTTGATACAACCCACACTGTGATTGGTGTGACACGTGCACATGTATAACTCCCTCACTCACCGATGACATAGCCCTCCCAGCCCCTAAGAGGAATTTTTGCTCAAAAATACTCAAGTTAAGAGAACTTTTTGCATTTTATACGAGTCGTAAGGTTACCCTTCTTACACAACACAAAGCAACAACACACTACTTCACCGAAAATAAAAAAATAAAAAAACCTCTCTGACACGTTGAAAGTCTGATTTGATTAAATTGCACTTTAACTTGGTGCCACGCAGTCTTCAAAGAACATTTGAACAGTTTTCATACTTTTTACCTTTAAAAATATCGGACTGAAAAGAATGTCATAAAATGCCCATCAAATAAAAATATATATTAAACTGCTACTGCAGAGACGTAAAAACCGTCCAGAAATGAAAGCTTCTTTTTTGTTTCATATCCT